TGTTGAGTAGCCTTTATGTATGTTTATATATATATATATATATATATATATATATATATATATGTACATAGGATGCAGTCATTTGATCAAAGGTCACAGTAAAGATTTCTATTTCAAATAAATAACCTACTATACTTTTGATAATCCGGGAAAAAATTATGTTTTCCACAAAAATACACTGTTTATAACATTGATAATAATAAGAAATGCTTCTTGAGCAGCAAGTCATCAAATTGGAATTTCTGAAGAATCTGGTTACAGTGACTTAAGTAGTAATGGCTGTCACAGAAATTACATTTTATAATTAAAATATGTTTAAAATATATTAAAATAAAATAAAAAGTTTAAATTGCAAGAATATTACATAATATCACTTTTTAGTGTATTAATGATTAAAAAATGCAGACCTGGTGAGCATAGGAGACTTCTTTCAAGAACATTAAAAAATCGTACCAACCCCAGTAGAGTATATGTAATGTTTGGATAAAGAATAATTACTCTTTCAAGGACAGAAATATGTATCAAATTTGTTTTACCAATTTGTAGCAGTAAAACAACTACAGTTATGACTTGTTGACACAGACTTGTTCATATCAGTGGTTTTTAAATGACAACATATAAAACAAGCAAAACAACTTTTACTGTTCAAATTCCATCGTTGAAACTTGAACCATCACTGACTAATAAATTATGTGGCTACATGTGTGCATAATGAAAACATACCTGTGCTCCTGTATTTATTAGAGCTTTAGAAATCAGAAGAGAATACAGAGTATATATACATATAAGAATACTGATTTCACATCTTCAGAAAATAAAATTTTATATTTAATTTATGTAACTTATTTTCTTATTGGTCTTGAGAAACAGGTGAAAGTGGGGCAACAGATCACATTGTGTCACTATACCGTTACATGTTGTGGATTTTTCATATGTTCAACTCATTCAGCAACGATCCGCTGAAGCAACAATAGTGCATTAAAGGGTTAGTTCACCAAAAAATAAAAATTCTGTCATTAATTACTCTCATGTCGTTTCAAACCCGTAAGACCTTCGTTCATCTTCGGAACACAAATTAAGATATTTTTGATGGAATCTGAGAGCTGTCTGACCCTGCATAGACAGCAATACAACTGAAATGTTCCCAAGTCTATAAACATAGCAAGGAGATCTGTAAAATAATCCATGTGACATCAGGGGTTCAACCGTAATTTTACAAAGCTACGAGCATACTTTTTGTGTGCAAAAGAAAAAAAAATTTGTCTCCTCCGCATCACCCTGTAGCGCCATTTTGGAGAATGAGTAATTAATGACAGAATTTTCATTTTTGGGTGAACTATCCCTTTAATGACTGTACACTGGCTCGTCAATAACATCTGCTCTAGTATGCTCTAGTTTGTTGGAAACATGTCAATAAAGGATATGACAAGCATAATTGTGGCAATTAATTGGCACTCTGAAGTTCTTTTGCCATAGAATTCAACTACAAATATGGCTGTAAGTAAAGAAACCTGGCCTGTTTGAAAAAGCTGAGTCAGATGGATCTGCTTGATGTGCCCACCACCAACTATTTCACATCCTCGAATCAGGCGATATAGGGTTTAGATATTTGGCACAAGGGTGTGCAACTTTGGATCATATGAACCAGAATAGGATTAGTAACTGGCTGACAACTTCTGAAACCAAAGCATCATGCGCTTTGAAGACATCTTAACTCTATATAGCCAAACATATCATAGTATTATATACGATTGGGCCCCTAAATTATTAACATGTTCAAAACTTTGCTGAAAAACATGTTGCACACAATCTTCCACATGCCTCCTGTCATCTGATTGATAGTTTATAGTAAAAGGACTTTTAGTATAATTATAAAAATGTCCATCTTCAGCTCGTGATTCACAAGTCTTTTTGTGAAATCTTTACTGACTATTATAAAGTAAATGTAAGAATAACTTTTACATTGTTGGTTATATTTCAAGATGATCATTTACTGGACTAAAGCAATTTGATTATCCATACATCATTTTGTTTTGGAAAATGTAAAAAAAAAGGTTTTGAGGAACATTTATTTGTTCATCTCTCAGTCATCATTGTATTGCATTGTATTATATGGTTTGTCCCGACAATAAAAACTACATAGCTTTGATCATAAACTATAAGCATTTAAATATCATCTTAATAAGCCATATTATTTGACGATATAGAGTGACAAATGATATTTATATGCATTTTATGCAAGTAGTTTGTTTTACTGTCTTTTTTTTGTTGTTGTTGCCATAAATAGCTGCTGCAACAAATTACATATTTTTGTTCAGTTTGGGCGAATAAAATAAAAATTGAAGAATTTTTTTTTTCGTTCTTGAGTTTGGGCTCCATATTTTTACTATATCATGCTATATGAGCAATAAAAGCCTGATATATTAAACATGATAGACAACATAAAACATGCATTTAAAAAAACAAATTCTGTCTAAAGGTTCAGTAAACTCTTCCATTAAAATAAATAAATAAGTGATTTTTCTGACTATTTTTTCATATGTCAGGCTTTACAGGGTTAAGATGTTGATTTGTGCAGTTGCTATATGATATATACAGTAACATACAAAAATAAGTGTTGATGAATTGGGTTATTGAAATGAAGACATGGAAAAATACTCCATATAATGTACAGCAGTCACTAACTGCATTTGGTCTATTGATGTCTTGTTAATATCAAATCTGTCTCTGTGCAGCAGTGCTGTAGTGACCGGTAGAGTAATGCTGACCCAGCAGCCACATGCTACCTTTTTCCAAACCAGACTTATTCCCTGCTTTGTGTATTTGAATCACTTTCTCTTTTATGAGAAAACTCTCTAAAGCTGTGACACTCTAAAGTCCAAGCACAACAATCCCAGAGCTCAGCGGTGAGAGAGGAAGCCATAATCTCAGGTTTATATAGCAGAGTTTGAGGTTCAGCCATTAAACAATGTTTTTTAATGCGGGGGGAAACACGGGGACCAGCGCACCCCTTTTTGCGTCACCAGAGAAACCTTCAGTAAAAGTCGACCATTCAAACACAGCGACTACTCTTTTGGCGGCTCGCGGTTCCCGAAAGCTTTGTGAAGGGGTGTCCTTGGTGCTTCCTTTTCATTGTGTTTGTACTGGCTCCTTTGGATCAAGCTGTGACTCATGGTACATGGCAACGTCACAATTGCGCATATAAAGATGTTTTATTGGCTTTTAAGAGCATAAAAACAATAACTGTGTATGGTTGGTTTCAATTACGCTGACGCTTGATTAAGCAGTTTATATGTTCAGGCAGGATTTCAAAAACTCCCTTGACAAACGTGGTTGAGAATTAGTTTGTATTGGGACTGTGGCTGCTTTTAGAAAAGCATACTATCATTCTAGTATATCTGCATTGTGTAGCATATGATGTATGCACAATATATTGCATGCATATACCTGCATGACATGATACATTTGCTAGAACACTGTACACAGCTGTGCTGGTTACTTACTGTATCCCATAATGCACTGCACTTGGATTAAAAATTCTAAATAATCACTCTAACTTCTTATATAAATGTGCAAGAGTATACGGAAAACACTTAAATTATTATGCTTAATGTTGCTATTACATGGAAATAGGACTTTACTTTCAAAAAGTATACTAACATGGAAATAATACTTACTTGTGTGAACTGAATGTAATATTTTCCGACATTTAATTACATTAATGCAATGCAAATTTATATTAAATGCAATTAGATAAACGGAGTGCTTTTATGGCCCCATTTAATTAGGACGCAAGTACATCTTTATAGAAATTTCATAATTACTTCTATTGTATTTGAAATATGGTTAAAGTACTGCTGAATGTACTGACAAGCATTTATGGTAAACTACAAAATAGTTGAATGTAATTTCTATTGAAACTTTTATTTTATGCATTTAAATGCACATACAGCATTATTTCTCGTGTAACCATGAGTGGGTGCTAAATTTGATTTCCACACAAGACTTTAGTTCATGACAGGTCAAGATGACTTCAAATCCTCTGAGAATGTCCCATGCTGATTTAAGTCTGTAGACCAACAGTCTTTGGTAATCCACATCTGCACACAAACACTAAACAGAAAAACTGCACTACACAAACATCCTCAGTCAGTTGTGCTGCAGGGCTGCATCTCATCATGCAGTGACGGTCTGAATGTAATTGCCAGTGTTTATTCCTGCACAGATCACCAGCAGTGACCTTGATCGAGTGAAGCTTAAGTCCAGATGCTGACCGGAGGTGTATAGGGGTCACACTTACCTCAGCCTCACGGTCAGTTGTTTATTTGGCGAGAGCTGCATTGCCCTACAATGTTTATTTGCTTCCCTTGGTGATTCAGCAGTAAAGTTTGGAGACCTTCTCAGCAAGTAGTGAGATAGGAAGAAAATCTCCATGATGTGAGAATACGTTTAGAGGGTGATAAACAAGAGCTCTGTCTCATATGAGGGCAGTGGAAAGACCAGAATAATAAAGATGCAACAGATGCATTTCACTACATTGAAAAGTGGCTTAAATGAAAGAAAAGAATCTGAAACCAAGGACTGACCCCTTGACCGCATTAGTTATTATGTCCAGTTAGTTTTGGATACTGGTATGATGGTATGGTCCAGTCAGCCCCTGCTGGCAGAGAATGTAACTACACCACACCATTTCGAGGGCAAATATAATATTTTCTGCATTCCACATCAGCCATGTATTCTTTTGAAATTACTTGTAAGCAAGAAATAAATAGCAAATATTTTATTTTATTTAAGCGGATGTTTTTTTTAACTGTCTGATTCTTTTTAAGGGCTCTTAAAGAGAGAGTCCAACCAAAAATGTTGGTAACTAAACCGTTTCAGTTCCCATTGACTTCTATTGAAATACAATAGAAACCGAAACGGTTTGTTTATCAACATTCTTCAAAATATCTTCTTATGTGTTCAGCAGAAGAAGAAGAAATGCATACAGGTTTGGAATGACATGAGGATAAGTAAATGATGCCAGAATTCATATTTCTAGGTGGACTATCTCTACAAAAACATTTAATTGCCTTTTTTTTTTACCTACTTGCTGCTTTTTGACATTCACATGGTCGCTCAGAAAAACCTGTATTTTGAACTGTTGTTATTGTTAACTAGAACTATTAAAAATTCTTTACTTGAAATCAATCTGAAATTAAACAATTATTCAATGAAAACTTAAACTCTGAATATTAGAAATGTTGCCTTGGCACCTAAGTGCAAGTACTAACTTACTAAAAGTGGAATAGAAATAAAAGAAAGCGTAGAAAATACACACAGAATTACTAAAAATTAAATTAAAAAGAAAAATAAAAAACTAAATGCCACTTTAAAATATTAAGAAATACTGTAATTACTTTATAAATACTGAAAACTGCATGGAAAAAGATCGCCCAATACAAGAAGCCTCTAGATATAAATCTCTCAGGTTTCATATATATAAAATATATTTATTTGTTATAAACCAAAGTCTTGTAAGCAGGGTTATTATAGTTAACTAAAACTCCTGAACACCCTAAAATAAATGACACACATAAATGAGTAGGGTCAGTGCTTATGCTGTTTATATTTTTTTCCTGTGCCCATGTTAAAGTCCGTGTAAAGCAATATTAAATGTGTTTGTAACCACCCAGCCAAATTCGAACGATTAAAAACCACCAAGTAAATAAAATAAAGTATCAAAATCTTGAAAAAGTCATTTCTGCTCTCAAACGCCGGGGGGCGTGTCCGCTGTCAGCGCTGAAACCACGCCCACTCGCGGGAAAGCTGCCGCCTCTCTCTGTCAAATACTGCTAAAATCCAGACATCATTGGTAATGTTATTGTTTTAGTGCTTATGCAAACAAGAAGTAATTTTATGTGTTGTTTGTTGATTTTAAATATAACACTCGGTGAAACGATTTATGCGTCAGTACGTTTTGAACATTTCCAGCACATTTTAACAATAACGTGATAGGCCTACTACTGATAACCGTGGTAATTTTGGTCACTATGAAAAGAAATTTTCATACCGTTTCATCTCTAGTCCTGTCCCACCCACATACAATGGTTCCGACGCCCATGGTTTAGCTACTTGCTTGAGCAACGTAACATATAAATCTAAAAGTAAAACGCATTGAATAATACGTTGCTTATATTTATTGCATTTAAACGTAAATATGTATATGTAAGACTGAATGAAAATGAAAAGAGAATCAATGCTGAAAAATGTCTAATAGCTCAACAATACTTGACCATGAAGAAAGAAGAAACCACTTCGAATTCGGTGTTTTCAGTGAAACAGTACATTAAACATGATGTTCATTTCATCCCGACGTCCTAACGCCTACTACCTGTGCTAGGATCCACACTGTAACATGGGCATTAGAAACAATGTGTCTGTTTTGAATACGCTTTTCTCTTTTGGCTTAGGTGCATGTTTAAGATTCCTGCGCACTCCAAACTCAATGCCTACAGCAGTTTGTTTGAGTCGGACTTAGTGCCAACCCTGGACGGGGAAAGAGGAACTGCTCCATGTCAAATGCTAATTACGGGATGGTCAGCTGCACCAAGACAATTTATTGTTGTAAGAACTTGTAAAAGATCTTTCCTCTTTCCTAAACAGAATTTTTTTAAGGTCTGTTCACGCAGCCAAGATAATCATGAAGTAATACTATATAATTATAAGACAATCAGAAGAACCCAATGTATAACAGTGATGGTGGGTCTTCAAGTTACAAAGCAATGTTTTGAGGCTGTTAGTTTGTGTGTGTTAGATCTGAGCCAATCTTTTTTGAACCATTCAGAATTTTTTTAAGGTCTGTTCACGCAGCCAAGATAATCATGAAGTAATACTATATAATTATAAGACAATCAGAAGAACCCAATGTATAACAGTGATGGTGGGTCTTCAAGTTACAAAGCAATGTTTTGAGGCTGTTAGTTTGTGTGTTAGATCTGAGCCAATCTTTTTTGAACCATTCATATCTAAATGTTGCTCCCTCTAATATCCCTTGCCTCGATCTATCAAACAACAGCACGTAGGAAATCATAACTCACACCTGAGACATTAAGTAATGGTCATAAATATAAATAAATAAAAAGGGCAGATGAAAAAAAGCCATCTTCCTGTTTCCTTTAAGACATTTCCCATATATATATATATAGTCCACATGAATTGGTGTATTCAGGTTCAAGCCACCTGGATTGAAAAACATAGGCCTACACACATACAAATATGTGTACGCGTGTTTGGGGTAAGAAATATATATATATATGGATATTTATTTTCCTTAGATAAATTATTAAATTGATCAAATGCAACAATTAATACATTTACAACATAATAGATTTCTCTTTCAAATAAATGTTCTTTTAAGCGTCCTATTTTTATTCTTCATAGAAACCTAAAAAAAGTATCACGTTTCACCAAAAATTTTAGAAATATCAACATTAATATGTTCCAAATCAGCATATTAAACTGATTTCTGAACGATCACGTGACACTGAAGACTGGTGTAGTGATGCTGAAAATTCAGCTTTACCATTTCACAAATTACATCTTAAAATATATTCCAATAAAGAATCATTATTGTTGAAAGTGATATTTCACAATATTATGGTTTTGACTGTTTTGTTCAAATAGCATAACTTCTTTCAAAAACTTAATCTTATACCGACTCCAAACTTTTAAAAAGGGGTGTGTATATTAATATATACACACACACACACACACACACACACACACACACACACACACACACAC